CTTGCTGGTTGCTTATTAGTTGTGACTATCTCATTAGTAGCTAAAATTGTACTTAAGTTATCCATCGCAAGCTTGGAACATAAAATGAACATGGCATACGTAATCTTTACCTGTAGAAAATGTGGGAGCATTGTGTTACAAAAAGTAAATTAACGTCTTGTTAATTGACTGAAATAAAAAAAAAACAAAGAACTTCAATTCATTTATTACACTATAGTTTACATTAATTCTACATTGTCAATAAATGCAAAACAATACAAAAAACTTAAACTTAATTCAAAGAAGCAATCGGTTACAATATTACAAGCGTCTTAACTAAACGATATGGTTTATACAGATCACATTTATTTACAAATATTATCATATCAAACAGAGAAAGTCGGGTCATGTCGGCTGTCGGTCGGCTGCGGGCACGTGGCGTGTTGTCCGCGAGCTAGCCGCGCGGTGTTCGGTATGCCGGTGCCGGGCGGCGAGCTGTCTACCACTCGAGCTCGCCGGGCATGTACTTCTCAATGAGGCCCTCGTAGTACGGCCAAAGCGCCTCAATATCGGGGATGCCGGCACTCTTTGTGTAAAGGTCGTATTGACTGGAAACAAATGTTATTGCTTGTAAACACTAATAGGATTAAATCAGGAGAAATATTATTTTGCATAATTACACTGAATTACATTTATTCTACAAACTTTAAAAACTTACTTGAATTTGAGCACGGCCTCCTTGATGTAGTCGTCTTTCTCTGTGATGAGGTGCCGGTAGTCGCCTCCCGCGTGCCACGGGTAGAACGAGTGGTACCTGTGCAGTGGTCAAAGTGTTATGTTGCATATAAATAAGACAATGGTATCGAAGTCATTATAAATGAGCGACAGTGTGCGTTTGTGTAGTGTGAATGTAAGGAAGTACCGAACCTGATCATATAGAGCGCCTCCTTGGGCAGCGTAGACTTGTTGTGCACGAGGACGCGGTAGAGGTACTCGTCGTGCCCCCACGACATCATCAGCCGCTCGATCCCGCACTGCGGCTCATACATGCCGCAC